TGTACTCGTACACATTCCGAAGTCAGAACAAAACTCCGAATGGAATGCTTGCACGTGATCGCGTCTTATGAAACGTTAGTGTATTGATTGCTCCAGTACTTACTGAAACCTGACTGAAGCAACTAAAAACAACTTTACGGTGAATTTTATTGTTATCAATTATCTACTCGAAGTATTCGTCTAAGAAAAATATATTACAAACATCTATATATAAGTACAAAACGAGATGAGGCTTGCATGATGGCATCCGAACCGAGGGCCTAACAACAGTCTATCTTACAATACTGCATCACTCAACACAGAATCTACTCATACAATCCTCAAAATTATATATGCGTCTCTCATCTAAGCTCTAGCCCAGACTTCTTTTCCTTTAACCCAAGTACTTTGAGGGTATCCTCGTCTATCCAATACAACCAAATCAGCATCAGCACCCGGACGCAGAGTACCTTTTCTATTTTCAATTCCCAGACATTTGGCAGGGTTGAAAGTTGCACATTTGATAGCTTCACCTAACGAGCATCCAGTGAAACGAGAAAAGTTGCGGACACATTTATCTAAGGTGACAACACTGTGTATATCGAAGGTAAGATAATACGAACAATGGACGATGAGGAAAGGGTGAAGAACATACCTTCCGGCGAGTGTGTCTGTGCCTTCGAGATAGAGCTTATCGCCTTCTTTGACAAAACGCTTGCCGTCTCGCCACTCATGAATGCCGTCGGCGAGATGTGGATCAAGGATCTTCATCGCTGTAAAAAAAAAAAGCATATGCGTTAGGAATAGGGATCGGAAATCATGGACTTGAAAATGCTTACCATCCGTAATCAAGATACAACCCTCGGGGAATGCAGAGTAAGCAAGCTTTTATGACATAGTCAGCATGAGACCTTTGATCCGACAAAGTACGGTGACATACTCGAACAGAATTAGGATGAGAGTGAATCCCATCGACGATAAGTTCATAGAAAGGTCTCTCAAACTGCATTGGAACAGTAGTTCCTTTCTTAAGTGTTATCTCACGATCTATGGCGGCGAGTATGGGAGTCTGAGGAGGCGTCATCAGGTCATCAAAGGCCTCCGAAGTAGCTTTGGGACCGGTGGTACCCAGAGCGGCGAGACGCTTGGATAATGATGGAGGGGTAGGTAGCTGTGGAATAGGCCCGAAGGTCGTCTTGGACGGGGAAGAAGGAACTGAGAGGTGTGGGGATGAACCGAGGAGACCAATGATGGATGGATCGCGATGGTGAAGCTGGGGCATTGCGTTGAAAAGATGAGTGATCAGACGGGCACCACTGAGAACTGCTGCTGCTGCGATATCTGTAGTAGCAATACTACATTCCGACGAGTCAATAAGGATAGCATCAATTACTAAGGAAAAGTCCTACCTGTGACCGATCGAGAATACAACGCCTCTCTTAACCGCCTCTTCAACGCCAGCTTTAACGCCGTCTATCTCTGGGGCAGCGGTGATAATTCGGACTCCAACTTCAGTCCCATGTCCCTCGCATGCCATGAGCCAATCTTCCTTGTGAGCGAGATTGTCTGGACCATAAACGCTTTCGAAGGATTCAAAGCCATCGGTAGCCGGTTGAAGGAATTGTGGAGCGTGTGCGCCGCGCTTGGCGAGTTGAATGAAAGGCCCTTCAGCATGCCAGCCAAGCAGATTGGCAGAGTGTTCAGAATGGTATGGACGAAGGAGATTCAATATGGTAGGGTAGAGAGATTTTTCCTGAGTCTATAGAATGATGTCAGAGGGCATAATGAATCCTCGACTAGAGAAAACTAACAATGATAGTTGGCACCAGGCTGTAGATAATGTTAAGCATACAAATCTCTCATAAGAAAATGTGGCTTACGAGGTGACACCAGTTTCTACGATTTTTTCAGCGACATGTTTGAGCCCATTCCGATAAGCCTCTTCGTCGCCTTCAAAGACAGAGAAATCAAAGCCGTAAGCACCATTGATTTGAATGTCCATCAAACCAGGGCTGAGGATGGATACGTGGTTAATAGCACGAAAGGTTGTCCCGGAACAATGCAAACATACCTCAAGATGTTTCCGCCTAGATCGATGATCTTTGCAGGTCTTTCCTTTCTCAAAAAGAAAGTGCGCTAAACGGACAGAACATGTCAAATCCACCAGAAACAAGATGCCGCATCGTCTAAACAAACATACCTGCGCATCGAGAATCACACCCCGACGCTCATCAATCCAAAGATCCTTTTCGACAAGACTACCGTCTTCGTGCGGAAGCAGACAATTGGTAAAGCAAATTAAGCCGTTAGGAGAAGCCATTTTACGGTGGTTTTTGAGTGTAAAGAGAGATGTCCTTGTGGGGGTTGAAAGCAAGGTTATCCATAGCAGATGAGACGGCAGAACTGGTCGAAGATATAGGAGAAGGATGAGTCGAGCATGTGGAGAAGCTCGGAAAGAACCAGCTCAAACTCGCTCGGTCCGGACACTCGGCTTGTTATCCGACTGCAGGACTCTTGCGGCATATGGATCATGGTGACAAGTGATACCAACGTGCTCTGGCTTTGGCTTTCGACTGGGTCATAACTGTATGGGAGAGACAGAATCTTCAAGACTATTCGGCGTGGAATGAACGCAGGTGGTCACTGGCTTGAAATTAGTCCGGACGTTCAAGTTTTGAAAGGGCAGGAATGCCAATCCACAAAGTATTCGTTAGATTCCAGGACATCGATTTTTATGCTTACGAGGAGTATAAAGATTTGTAAAATCAAGCTAGCAGTCGCAGTTTTGACGATGTAGAACTTGCTATACGAAGCTCAACGACATTGTGATTGTGAGCCAGAAGCCACCAATCAAAGCGCAGCTTCGTAAGCAATCTTTCTGAAAAGGAAGTCGAAGTAAGCGGCCCAAGTTCGGGGAACTTGAGACGACCTCGTCAAATTCTATCACGTCCTCCACTCTAGAAGAGTCGTACAAAATCCTATGCGGGTTGAGATCTTTGAGAGGCATTTCGAGACGTTTGATTGACTCGAGAGAGTATCCAATCGGACGCTCTGGAGGACTGCCTAATTTATGTGATCGTTTGCCAGTAGGAGATCTAAGCGAGCTGACTAGGACAGGAGCGATGACATTGGGATGCCTCGCAACGGAGATGATAAATCACCAATAAATCACGTTAGTCTTTCCTCTTCATCCTCCATCATTCAATTTCTGTGAAAGTAAGGCTTGTGACCGCAAAGTTCGCGGGCGGTGGCGGGGAGGCATATAAATTTGCTCAAAGTGTGAGAAAGTATGACTTCAGATTCTGTTATCCGCGGTCATCCTCTTTTCCCTCAAATGCAGCCTTAACTCTTACTACTTCCCCACATCTTCCTACTCCTCTCCCTCTCACCGCCATGTCGTCCAATTCCCCGCCGCCAACCTTCCAGGACCCTCCGGAATACACCTTTCCGGCTCACCGACTTAATACCATCCTTCGGGACTCCTCAAAACAACCAATTGTCCTGGTCGCATGCGGCTCCTTTAGCCCCGTAACTTATTTGCATCTTCGAATGTTTGAAATGGCTAGGGATTACGTTCGACACAATACCGACTTTGAAATTGTAGGAGGATACCTCAGTCCGGTGTCAGATCAATACAAGAAACCAGGCCTACTCGCTGCTGCACATCGGTGAGTACAACAATAATTATAGGTCGTGAGGATCATGTGAACCTGATTCATCTTACTTCTTCTCCTTCAGAGTCCATATGTGCAATCTAGCCGCGGAACAGACTTCGAATTGGCTCATGGTAGACCCATGGGAAGCTTTTCAATCATATCAACGAACAGCTGTGGTTCTTGACCACTTTGACTACGAAATTAATACTAGGCTGGGTGGCGTTACTACAGCGGATGGAGAACAACGTCATGTTCGTGTTATGCTCCTTGCAGGCTCAGACCTCATCGCAACCATGAGTGAGCCCGGAGTATGGTCCGAGCCAGATGTAAGTCCCCATTCTATCCCCCGCACCTCTTTGCATCAAGAGAAAGGTCATGAAGCTGCATTATCAAATTCCGATGTCGTGTTGCCACAGGAGCTTTTGCAAAGCAGGTCTTTGACAGATTGTCCTGTGCCATGATCCGATGGTTTCAATTTGGCAGAGACCGTTCACGGATTCCTTCTTACTGTGCAATCTCATGGCTCAGTTTTCATGTCACTTCACTCGGTTGCATTTCTTCATGTTCTGACACAGATTTCTTTGGTATTTTAGTTAGATCATATCTTGGGGCGCTATGGTGTTTTAATCATCGAACGCGCGGGTGCTGACATGGATCAGGCTATTGACAGCCTTGCTCGATGGCGAGGCAATATTCATCTCATCCACCAACTCATTCAGAATGATGTTTCTTCCACGAAAGTCAGACTATTCCTCCGAAGAGGTCTTTCCGTTCGATATCTCCTACCGTCGCCGGTTGTGGATTACATTGAAGAACATGGATTGTACGTGGACGATGGTGCTCCGGCGAGTGCTGAAAAGGAGAAAGAGAAGGGAAAGGGCAAGGCGAAAGAAGCTACTTCAAGTAGTCTTAAAGTTCCTTCGTGATGCTCCCTCACATGTTCACACACATACACACTCGTTGCATCTCAATAAGGAAAGGAGGCAATTTGTTAGAAGTTTCAAATCTTTCGGGCGAAGTTGTACGTTGGTTGGTTGGTTGGCTTTATCTTGCTTTTATTTTTTGTCTCCACGGATTCTTCTTCTTGCATATTGTTGTTTTTTGTTACCTATTCCATCTTTTCGTCCTATGCCTTCGTTTTTTTATTACCTACTTACAGCGCGGTGCTTCGTGAAGAAAAGCGTTATATTTATGTATGGTTGGTTAAGCTTGGACTTTTTAAACGTCCTCCACTGCGTATCAACTGCAGATGTACAAAATACCTTCTAATGTAGTATCCATTTGTTGAAGAAATCAAAACGTTGCTCGCTATGGTGGTGAAAATATGTTTGATGTAGTAATATACAGTTGGCAATTCAATGCATAGACCCCTTAGCTCAGTGGTAGAGCGTGTGATTCCAGTGTTCATAGCACTTACTGGCTTCCACAAAGTCATCCGTTCAATCCGGGTAGGGGTCAGGTGGAGCGCGCTTTTTGGGGAGGAAATTTCATTTTCACCGTATCATCTACTCGTTTCTCTCATTATAAATTCAAAAACCAGCAGTCTTGTTATTATGTGAACAGTTTTGAATTCCTTTGAAGGGAGCTTCGAATAGACTCGGAGGAAAAAATCACCGTGGATCAGAATGGATCGGTTCAATTGACCAGTACAAAACTTTAGCATTGATTAGGTAATTCGATTCGCATCCATAAACCTTCAAATTGGAATCATGTCCAGTCAGTTTGAACCTTTCACTACTACTATGCCTCTCAATATCCCTGGACTTCTTGTACCCTTTCATCTTATCATAAACCCACGATTAGTGTTACCGTCAATCATTGTGAAAGGTTAGGCATACATCTGCTACTCGTGAAAACCAAACTCAACCATTTGCTGCAGACAGATATACGCCAGCTTGACTTTAAGGAACTTCGGAAAGCAGGGTATCGAGGTGCCGTTTTTGATAAGGATAATTGTCTGGTGAGTGTGTTTTCAATTGTATGAAAAGAAAGATCTAGTGATTTGGTTTTACAGACATTACCGCACGAAGATGCACTAGTACCGGAACTCAAGGTAAGTTCGGTGAAGAAGTTTATTGTTCACAATCCTCATGGTTAACATGTTAAATTCTCAACTCAGGATGCATGGAGAGAATGTCGGGAAGCTTTCGGCACAGGGAATGTACTAGTTGTGAGCAATTCAGCTGGAACACGATTGGACCCAGGCGAGATTCAGGTAATCATACCTCATATTTTGCCTCAGTGTCATCATTAATATCTGGATAGGCTGAATCCGTCACATACCAACTTTCGGTTCCTGTCCTACGACACAAATCATTCAAACCATCGTACTCATGCATATTCGCCATCCGCAAATATTTTCGCTCGCTTCCAAAACCTCTTGAAGAACATGAATTGATCATTGTTGGAGATCGCATATTCACAGATGTCGTATTGGCGAACAGGATGACCCGCAGTACTAAACACTCTGCGGCCATCTCTGTATCGGAGAAGGAGAAGCATGACGTGCAATTGCACGAGTATAGTCGAGAGGTCAACACGAGAACTGGCCCGTTAGCTATCTGGACGGATGGGGTATGGAAGAAAGAGAACATGGCTCTGAGATGGATGGAGAGTTCTCTTATGCATGGGTTGCTGAGGTTGCTCGATGGAAAAACAAAATTCGAGTTATCCGAAGATCTCTCTCGGTTCGTCAAACCGATACCCCCACCGCATATCGTTGAGAAGACAAGTCTTTTGAGTAGACTTTTAGGTAGACTTCGTGGGGCCTCATAATTACACTAATTCATATGACCTTTGTCATAACTTTGTCTCAACTTCAAATACTTCTGAATTTGAATGGGATGCATTCTCGTGTGAGAGTATGTCATAGCACGTGATCCGGTCGACATTCAAAATTACAGGATGCTTGCCGGCGAATTACAGGTCTCGCTTTCGTTCTCACTCATTGCTCTTGTCGACGTGTTCATCCTGGCTCTCGACGACCATGATCGGTCTGGCGGTCCCCTCGAGGGCGACAATGGTCTATGTGAATATATCGGGCCCCCTCGTAGTACGGCGACAATATTCTAAACTCGTCACTTCAAGCTTTCGGCTTTCTCTCCGATCTCAGACTGCATTGTGTCGCGACTCCATACCTCGCAGATTCAACAGTACCAACTCTCCTTCACAAGCACCAAAGGGCATAAAGGAATCGAACAAAGACCCAAAGCCTTCAATATGGTCACGGTTCCTATCTACTGGCGAGGACAAGACTAAAAGCGCATCTTCATTCAAGAAGATTGTCGCTTTGGCTAAACCTGAGAAGAACCCTCTTTCAATTGCTATCGGTCTCCTCTTGGTATCATCGACGGTCTCTATGAGTATACCGTTTACAATCGGGAAACTTATAGATTACTTCACTTCCGCTAACCCTGTGAGTAACGACATCCGTTTACTCCGATTCATAGCTCAATTCACCCCCAGTCAATACCCTTCGGTTTGACATTAGGTCAAGCATCTGCTATCTTATTGTTTATCTTCACGGGAGGTGCTGTTGCCAATGCAGGTAGAGCCATGCTCATGCGACTTTCAGGTATGATGCTATGAGGTCCCTCATTACGAAAGTTCTCATGAATTCATGTAGGTCAGCGGATTGTTGCACGGCTAAGGGAGGACACGTACGCGGCAGCTTTGAAACAGGAGGTTGAATATGTGGAACGCGGCGAAGGTGATGTCATTAGCAGGCTCAGTGTGGACTCGAGTATTGTTGGTGAGAGGTGAGCTAGATGTCTTCAATATGCATGAATGCATTTGTGCTGATTTTCATAAGTGTCACGCAAAATCTCTCTGATGGTCTTCGGTCGGTGGTTATGGCTTCAGCTGGACGTACGTGCATCGAAATCTTGCTCCGGATTGTTAATTGACATTTGTTTCCTATTCGTTTAGTCGGCGCCATGTTCTACATCTCACCACAACTGACTCTCCTGATGCTCGCAATCGTCCCCCCGGTTTCCCTCGGTGTTGTTAGTATTTTTCTTTTCATACCAAACATGGACGTTGATTTTGACCCTATGCAGGTCGTTTATGGTCGCTATTTGAAACGTCTGTCAAATCGAACACAAGAAGCGTTAGGCGATATGACCAAGGTAATATTCCTGTCGAGAACGAGTGTCATATGATCTCAAGTTTGTCTTCAGGTTGCTCAAGAGTCTTTATCTGCTCTTCGTACAGTCCAAGCATTCGACGCGAACAAACAGGAAGAAAACAAATTTCATCAAAAGGTCGATACCGTACTTCAACTCGCCCGGAAGGAAGCCATTGCGAGCGGAATATTCTTCGGTAGCACTGGTTGGAGCGGCAACGTCACCTTACTGGCGTTGCTTGGTTATGGCAGGTCCCTCATTTAACAACAAAACAAGATCACTGATTTTTCCCTCGTAGGTGGAACTCTTGTCAGCTCCGGTGCATTATCTGTCGGTGACCTGACGAGTCTCTTGTTATATACTGTCTACGTTGGAAGTGGATTACAGATGTTGACGTGAGTTCCACCTGTAACTTCGAGATACAATACTGACCAGTGTCACTTAGTGGATTTTTCGTGAGTATCTTTCTACTGCTAACAAGACGATGACCTGAATCAATATCTAGTCATCTATCATGCGAGGAATCGGAGCTGGTGTCCGCATATTTGACCTCCTGGATCGTAAACCAGCTATTCCTCCCGATCATGGTATCGATGTTGACCCATCTCGCCGAGGCCCTATTCGCTTTGAACATATCACTTTCGAGTACCCCAGTAGGAAAAATGTCACTATCCTCAAACATCTCGACCTCGAGATAGAGGTTGGTGAGAGTGTTGCGATCGTGTACGTGCATAAATTTTCTGCGGAAGAAGAAGCGGTGATACTGAGAAATATTTACTTATTTGTGTAGAGGAAAGAGCGGGAGCGGAAAGTCTTCTATCAATGCACTGTTGATGAGGTATTACGATCCTGTCTCTGGAAAGGTGACATTTGACGGTCAAGGTATGCTCGTTCTCCAATTCCATTGGAGAGGTTTTAATGATCTACTTAGACATCCGTGAATTCAAACCGTCTTCATGGAGGAATATTATCGGTGTTGTCCCCCAGGTACTGTCTGCATCTTGTGCAGATGCATAAGCAAAAACTAAAATTTTATCAGGACCCCGTTTTGTTCACTGGTACTATTGCTTCTAACATAGCCTATGGCAATGATAATGTCTCTCGGGAGGATATCGAGGCTGCTGCTAGGGAAGCCAACTGTGAATTCATCTGGGGGATGCCCAATGGCTTCGATACTCAGAGTGAGTCTCTGTCTCAACTCACCATCACTTGGTAGTGATTGATCTTGCTTCAATGTAGTTGGTCGCATGAGTCTGAGTGGTGGACAGAGACAACGTTTGGCTATTGCCCGTGCTTTGGTTAAGAAACCCGCTATCTTGTGCTTGGATGAAGCAACTTCCTCATTGGATGCAACCTCTGAACATCGAGTACGTTAATCGATGAAGACGTCGTCGCTTTTTGCTACTATTAATTAATCGTGTATGTTAGGTCAATGATGCTATCGACAAGATTCTACATTCGAGACAGACAACATGTCTGATTGTTGCCCATCGGTTATCAACTATCGCTCGTGCTGAACGCATCGTCGTACTGGAAGGTATGTGAACTTTCAATTATTATTGTTAGCTCTTACTGACTCTTCATTTATCGTTAGATGGCCACATCACAGAATCAGGAACTTACAGACAACTGGTATATATAATCTACCCCCCATCCAGTGATACGTAACTGATAGGAATACTATGTGTAGGTAAACCGCCCGGACTCGCGGTTCCGCACTTTAATGGCTGCACAACTGAACACTGCAACTGGAGATCCTTCAATACCTCCAACCATTACGAAAGTTGTGAAACCACAACCTGAAGAAGAAGCACCTCCAGCTTAAATATCTTTAATAAAGGATTCTTGGATACTGCCCTGGGCACGTAACTCTCATTTTCATCAAGCGAGTGTTTTGTGGACTTTGAGGCTGGGCTGGACTTTGGTTACACCGTATTCTGTTGTAAAAGTGGATACGCATGCCGATTTACCACTGGAAAACTTACTCAATGATACTGTATCGATATAAGTAATTGCTGTCAAATTTTAGATCCTACTCATGGTTATACTTAGAGAAGTAATATCAAACTCTGCTCTCTTCAAGTGTTTCAGCAACGAGATATTAAAATTAATTTTCGTTGGGACCATCCGAGCCATGTACTTTGTTGAGCGTGGGTTGGTTTGATATAGCAAGCGATTCAACACACTTTTCCTCCTCCCACACAGGGCGGCCGGTGGCTACTCAAGTTGGAGAATTGTGTCGGCGCTGTGTTCAACGACTTCTATACAGGTCTTTTGTCCATCCTCAACACAAAATGATGAGCAGTCGAAGCTATTATATATGATTTTACTATT